ATAGTATAGATTTAAGTTTGGCTATATTTTTTTTATCTCGAATAGCTTCTTTTTCGTAAAATGCAATTAGATCCCTACCTTCTTGTGATAAATCACTCGAAGGCAGAATTAATTCATTAACCAAATTTTCTTTTTTCGAGCTCGCGAGAAAAAAGGGGGCCAGCTCGGGCAGAATTGATTCATTAACAGGCTGAGATAGAATAGCCCTTTGCTGGAGCTGTTCTTTATTATTCCATATTTCATAAACACATTTAGGTCCAATATGGAATTTATCAGCCATTTTTTTTGATGCATTGGGTATTCTACCTCTGGATTCTCTAATTTCTTTGATAGCATCATCTGATAATAAGTTTGCCTTAGCATCATAATACGTATCATGGATATGGGCTATCATTTTCACTAGATTATTATATTAGAAAAAAACATCAATGCTTTTTAATAAAATATCAATGCATATCAATGCGTATCAATACTTTTCAATAAGCATTAATATTTTTCAGTATATATTGATAATATTTTAATATTCACCGATGAATATTAATAAGATTCAATGCGAGCTTAAAGAAAAATTATATTCTGCTCTTAGATTTAAAGCTGAAATTAATGATCTTAGCGAGAAGTTACTAACTAAGTATTTAGAGCAAGAGAAAGAGCTTCAGCACCTTCGAGCAAGAAAAAAGCGGATAAGGCTTTACGAGAAGGCAGATGGTATTTATTATTTTAAGCTTGCTCCTTGATCCTTTTTTTTCTTAGCTCTTAATTGGAAATCACTTTTTTTTCGCAAGCTCAAAAAAAGATATATAGTTAACTAATATATTAAAAAACCTGATAACTAACTATATCTGGCTTCAAGCAAGTATTGCGAGAAGGCAGGACGATTTTACTATCTTTTTTAACTTTTTATGCTGGGAATAGTATTCACTTAGTCTTGTTTGGTGCTTATATATTTTATGTACTATTTTTTAGTATTATATATATATATTAAATATTTAAAAAAACTAATTGCCGAGGTGGGACACCATGTTACCAGGGTGCAGTATATGGTACAGTATCTATATTGGGTAGAGTCCTTTTTTTTTCATTTCATTCGAAAAAAAAGAAAGATAATTCGATTAACAATTTCTGTGATACAAAAATATGTTTTCTATATATTTGTTTTTTTTTGCTTGTGAAAAAAACAGTCCAAGCTCGTTAAATTGGACCAGCATCTAGTTAAATTTTTTGAATAAAAAAAATATATTGATAACAAATATATTTTAACTATTTATATTTGGCTAAGCCAGCTTACAAGTATTTCGAGGAAGTGGTAGAAATGTTTTAAGTTGGTATATGGCCTACTAATTTGGCTTCGAGCAATTCTTGCTCGAAGCCAAGAAATACTTCTCTGGGAACTTGGCCTTAATAGCTCTTTTTTCGGCCTCTTCATGGGGTATACTATCCTTGACCATATTTTTATAAACTTTATTACGCCAATGGAAATATGGTAAAGAAGTAATTTCATCTGATAGAATCCAGCGCTTAGTATCTATTGGGCATAAAGCCTTTTTTTCTGATTCGACCAAAGATAATATATGATCCTTTAACTGGATATCTACATTCTTGGCATGGAATACTTCCTTACTGAATAGATAGTCTCGATAAACTTGGGTCATTGGATCGAAAACTTTAGTGTTGTCTACTGGATCCTCTAGTAGAGTTCTACCTAAAGATAGGAAATATGTGTTGGTAGCCATTTCATTCATACCCTTTTTGCTTACTTCTTTATGCTTAGACTTTGTAGACTTATCTGCTAAGACATAGTAGTATGACTTGGCCCAGATATGATAAGATTCTGTAATTACATTGCCTAGAGTCTCATCTTTGAAAAGCCCAATAGTCTTAGAATCATTAAGAT